GAACCTATTGCAATAAAACGGCAATTTCATACTTTAACCCCTAATATTTTATGAATAACGAATGCACATTATCTAATTTATTTGTACACCTAATAGGTCAATGGCACCTAAGTATTTATTTTAAGCTGAATTGTAAATTTGTATCTACACGTTACTTATTGATTGTATAATTATTATTAATTATTAAAGTAATTATTTATTACCTATGTTTTAAACAACAAATGTTTTATAAAATGTTATTTTATTGTCTTACCTATTTATACTTACTTATTTATATTTATATATACTATCAGAACCGCTGTCGCCAAAACGCACACAAACAAATGTTAAACACTATGAAACAAATCTTGATAATGATTGGCCGTAAGTAGTTTCTAATTTGAAAAGATGTAACAAATTCTGGACCGTTGATATAATTTAAACTTTACCCGTCGTTATATCGTAGAAAGTTCTATACCTTTGCTAACGTGCTACCATCTTGCGGCCAGTAGCTGCTGGACTACGACTGACATCTGAACGAATAGAAAGTAGTATCTTAAATTCTCGACAAAAGAATTAATTAATTCAAATCGGAATCGATCCTATCGGGTAGCCCACCCGCAATTTTATACGGCTCGACTCGGAAAAGACCAGACCCTGTACTCTCGTTCTCCGTCCGACATCCGTCCGTAATAATTACTGTCAAATAAGTAATATTCGACGAAATTAAAAAAGACACATGATCCGACTGAAGCTTCACACTTGACATTGTTTTTTAATTAGATCGAGTATTATTTATTTGACAGTAATTGTTTTGGACGGAGAATGAGAGTAGCCCCTTGTTTCCGATCGGGAGGATATCTTCCTTAACGCGCACAGTTGCATAATGAACTTTAATTGGAATGAAGTTTAAAATTTAAAAAACACTCATGAAGCACATTTTTCGCTAAACTTTTGTTCGCTACTAGCGCGGAAAATTCGAGATCTTTATCTAGTTCTCCAAAAGATAAAACTCGACCATATTGCATTGGGATAGTGTTCACTTCCGTTTTGTTACAGTACAAAAAATCGATTCGATAAACTGGAAATGGAAAATTTAATAAAATAAGACATAACGATGATATGAAATACCACCACGGGTAATATTTTTGGTGGGGCTATAATTTTTGCACTCCAAGGGACGAAAATTCATTATTGTGTAACAAAGCAACACTATACCTACATGTACTCAGGGAATCTCTGTGTCCTATATAACACATCTTATTGTATATTACCTAAACATACTTTTAGTTGTAACCATTTTTGTTACATAATAAAATATTTTATTAATACTTTTATAACGTTAAGTTTTTCTAAACTTATTATGCACTACATACACATCCTATCCTGTATATTCCGTGGTTTATGTTGCCACTGGGCTTTCGCCACAACAGCGTAGCAAAATAACTACTTACTGAAAGTCGTTAACTTAAATGAATACATACTTCATATAATGGTTCATCAATTTGGAAACAAAATGGGCGGAACGACCGTGACGCTCTTAAGTATGAAAAATAATATTTCTTATTTAATTATCATTCATTCGTCGTCTCCGCTACTAATTAAAGCCGGCGAGTCCATTGTATTCGTTTCTCCGTTTATTCTTCTTAAAAACATTAAGCAGATATATCTGATTAGGTAGGCGAGCTCAAGTATGGATACTCGTTTCATTTGAATGGTAGGTATATTCCACAAACTACCATTAGTGGTGGTTGTTCGATTTTTCTCTCTCTGTTATGGATAGGCGTGTCGCTTACCATCAGGCGCACAACTTGTCCGTCCTGTCATTTGATATTTATTATAAAAAAACTACTTACGAATCTACATTCGTTTGCTTCCCGGTCAGCCCTGGTGTAAGACATGACTTTATTTTAAAAACAAGGAAACCTTTTTGTACGAGAGAGAAAGAAGCTGATCGGGAGAGGAATTTGACTATATGAAATAAAATAAAACTTTATTTTTAATAAAAAAAAGTGCGCATTTGACCTCCATTCACTGTCGCCTTGAGAAGGCCCTAGTTATAGCGTTCGGGGAATAAGTCTGCAGGCAGGGAATCCCACTCCGTAGCCGTGTAATAGCGAAATCCTTCGTACGAATTGTTGGAATATCCACAACTTAGGGTGAAACCCCAGCCTACGTCTAGTCTCCCGACTATGGAAACGGGAAGGCACTGTCCGTGATATATCCTGTAGAATACCGATAAGCAGGCAACTTTACAGGATATATATACAATATTCTGCAGGATCGCCTCTACTAAATACGAGTGTGAATATAATAAATGTAAGGTGGCCAGTTGTTATTTGGCAGAAGAACCCTACAGGTGGTAGCAGTAGGGGAAATACGTACAAATTGACTTGCATAATTTGAATTTGGTGAACTCTAGCTTCTTTCATTTTTTTTCCATCCTCTGGATCTAGCACGCAACTGATAACTGCATCATATGACCCAAGTGGCTTTAACCTGTCAAAACGTGCTCTCACACCTCTCATTCGTCCCAGCGTCGTCGCTGAAGATTCTAATCCAAATGCCATTTCAATTGATACTTTAATAAAGAGACTCATAATGTAGATTAAAACATTAATATCATATCACTAATTACTTAATGGGTTAAACTCGTGTACGCACTATATATTTATTCATTAAATTATCGATATTATATACCTCACATCTAGCAAATGCAGTCTAATGATGTAACCTTTGTAAGTTGTCGTAAAGATAACATATTTTTGAAAAATAAAAATTGTTTTTCTGCTCATTTCTCACAAATTTGGTGTTACTTTTACTTTAATTTTATGTATTTGCATAAACAAAATCTTTTCACTTCAAAGCGAGACTTATAAAAAAAATTTATAAAATACGTAAATTAGTGGATGTCGTTACAAGGTTCGTTAACCTTATGTAGAATTTTATGAAGTGTCACAGGGATCATCCTAGAAAATTTGAAGCATTGTTGAATGTTTATTTAAACAATTTTCTGGATTTGGCCCCTTAAACATACCTAGTATTTTCCCGTACGACCTTGTACCCTTTATACTAATATTTGCTAGCAATTTATAGAAACTTTGCATACCTAACATACATGTTCAACGTTTTACTACTACAGTATGTAGTATTATGTTAATTATGAAAGACGGTAAGATGCTTCTTTGCAGTGGATTGATCTTTGCAGTGGAAATTGACAGCCCGTTTTTACCTGTTTAAAGGGAAAACTATAGCAAACTGCTTATATAAAAAAATTAAAGAAAGTTTAATTTTCAAGTTTTTAAACTTAATTCATAGGTTTAATCGATTAAATAAATTGGAAACACAGTTATTAATTTATGTGTCGGGATTAACATGATCGATATTTATGGCGCAAAATTTGGGAATTCTATTCACGGCATATCACGATTCTGGCTCTTAAAAGCGTATTAACACCCTAAATAATATAATAATTTAGGTACCTACTAGATGATAATATTTGGTATGTATTAATGTTTTTTTTTTCACAAATCCTCACCCAGTAGGTAATATAATAAATAATACAGTTGTGGTGATTTGGGGAAAAAAGTCTAACAATTGCCACCGCGCGCCGCCGCGCAATAAAGATTACTCACTGGTGATTTATGGAATACCTATACCATATATAATATTTATTTAATTGCGTCAATGATAGCACAAAGAAATTTATCTCGTACAAACATGGACCCTGCGGAGGTGTCGCAATTTATTTTTTTTATTTTATATATATATTGATTTATTTATTTATTTGTTCCCCCTAATTGTTTGAGCACTATTATACATAAAATAAAAGCTAAAAATCCTGACTCACTTAGAAAAATAGAACGCATACTTCCCAATATGGTGGAAAAAAGATATTTATACCTAGGAAATGTAACTATTTTTCCGTATTTAAATCGCGTATATTTGTTTTTTCAAACAAACCGACGTTTCGGGCCCTTTACAGGTCCCATGGTCACGGTTGACGTAGGTGGTACAGTCTTCAACCAGTTATGTCTAATATTGATGCTAACCACCCTATTTTTTCACTATAGTTACAATAGTTATTAATTAAATACCTTATTTTTAATTTTACAAAGAAACATTCCAATTTACGCTACATTAAGTTTTACAAATTATTTTATTGAATGAATTTTTATTAAATTCAATTTATTATTAATTAATAATAGAAATTAGAATAAACTAAAACATATTAATTAGTACTGCAGTCTTATGTCTGTTTAGGATTTTTCATTAGAGGAAATACCGGATCCCAAACTGGTGGTACGGAGAAACCATCTTCCCTGTTGAAATTAGGATGTTTTACAATTTCAATGGCCTCTCGCAGCATCCTGGGTAGATAACGGATTCTTTTGCAAGGACCTGGGGTTTGTCGAAATTCATTGCATGTGTAGATTTATCCATGACATGCTCGCATTTTTCAGTTTCATTTCCTATGTGTAACAATCGCGAAAACCTAACAACTCGATATATACCTACATTGTTTTTTTTTTTACGGTGATTTGCTTTACGGTGTAGATTCGTTCATAATGAAGGATAGAAAAATGCAAAGCATTCGACCACATATTACCAAATCAGTATATTTCAAAAAACCATTTGAGCGTCACCTAAACACTACATTCGAGCAAAAATGTATCTACTCTATAAGATTATTTTTAATGTAATTTTATATTTTTAGCATCGAAAGTGGAGATGCAGGCGCACACAGCGCTGATGGCGCTGGCGGCACTGGGCACGTTGGCGGCGGTGGCGGCGGAACGTGGTGGCGGTATCAAGATCGGCGGTGGCGCACTAGGTGCTGGAGGGCGCGAGGGCGCACGCGGCACCGGCGTACGCGTCGGCGGCGAAGGCAACATCCGCCGTCCCCGCACCTCTCCCGCGCCGCCACCTCCTCGCGCGCCCTCCACCATCACTGCCGCCCTCGTGGTGCCCCATAAGTCCTTCGGTGCACGAGACTACACCAAGGCCGAGAAAGCAGCACTATCCAAACTACCGCGCAAATATAGACTTCACTTGCGCTTCAACGTCACGCTTTCCATGCAAGGCCTTACGCCTAGTCCTATGTGTAAGTGCACGACGTTATCCGATTCGGAATACGTGCATACATTATTTCTATATAGCATAGCAGCGTTTGAATGCCCTTAGATTAGATCTATTGATTTTGTTCTTACATGCTTTCAGCTATCCTGGACTCGCTATGTAAAGAATTTCTAGCGGTCAACGTGTCTGCTATCCTTTATCTTATGAATCATGAACAATACGGGCGCTCTACTGCCTCTGCACAATATTTTCTACAACTGGCCGGATATCTTGGCATACCGGTAAAGCTTTTTCCTTTCTCTTTTATATACTTTACTTACGCATTGCAAATTTATTTGTAGATGCTATCTTCTAGCATAGCGATTTACTTTAATTGTTTACATAATCATTTACACAATGAAGCCATAATTTATTTTTAGGTAATAGCGTGGAACGCCGACAACAGTGGTCTGGAGAAACGAGCGTCACATGCCGCACTGCGGTTACAGTTAGCACCATCCATCGAGCACCAGACTGCTGCCATGCTTTCTATATTAGAGCGGTACAAGTGGCACCAATTTAGTGTCGTCACCTCAGCTATTGCTGGTCATGACGACTTTATTCAAGCAGTACGCGAAAGAGTAACCGCGTTACAGGTAAATGTTTTATCTACAACCTATGTGTTTAGTGCTATAGTGAGGAAGTTCTTACCCATTTCTGAAAACTTTAACAGATATGAAACATTTTTTATTCAGGACCGATTTAAATTTACAATCCTGAACGCGGTGGTGGTGAAGAAGGCGGCGGATCTTAACGAACTGGTGACGAGCGAGGCTCGCGTAATGATGTTATACGCGACGCGCGAGGAGGCGGCCGATATCCTGTCCACGGCCGGCGACTTGCACCTTACTGGCGAAAATTTCGTCTGGATCGTCACGCAGAGCGTACTCGGCTCCATGCAGCAATCAAACAAGTTCCCCGTCGGCATGCTTGGTAACGTTTTACGCACTCCATATTCATGAATAATTTATCATCTAACGTTAGTGTTCACAAAATCAACTCTGTAATTGTTGGTATAGGTATTTGACAGATATAAAGTTTCCACTGGGAAGATGACGAATACATTAATTATAACGTTCGGATGTCTATTTATTAGAGGAACTGTAATTCTTTCTCCACGTATTGCAACCAAACAAATGATATTCTTATAGGCGTCCACTTCGATACTTCAAGTGCGTCACTTATCAACGAAATAGCAACAGCAGTGAAGGTGTTTGCGTATGGCGTGGAGTCGTACGTTTCAAGTCCTGAGAACGCACAGCATCCTTTAGGCACGCGGTTGTCGTGCAGCGGCACCGGGCCTGGCGAAGCGCGGTGGGCCACCGGTGAACGGTTCTACCGCCACCTGCGGAACGTCAGCGTGGAGGGCGAGCCGGGTCGACAGAGCATCGAATTCACACCCGACGGTGAACTGCGCGCCGCTGAATTGAAGATTATGAATTTAAGACCTGCCCTTGGAGATCAGGTTAGTTGTCACTGTTATCACGCTTTATTTATACAAGTTATACCCAATTATGTAATGTTAATTGGTATTCGAAGCGATGCCCTCATTCTTATTTACAGTGTCATTATTTTTCCTTTCTGGTACGATGGTGTAACAAACACATTATTATTTTTAATTCAGTACTTTTTTTCAACAGCTGTTATGGGAAGAAATTGGAACGTGGAACTCTTTCCCTAAAGAGCGTCTCGATATCAAGGACATTGTGTGGCCCGGTGGACTACACACGCCACCGCAGGGTGTGCCTGAGAAATTCCACATGCGCATTACTTTTCTGGAAGAACCACCTTATATTAACTTAGCTCCACCAGATCCTGTTAGTGGTCGATGCTCGTTAGATCGAGGTGTAATCTGCCGCGTTGCGCCGGAAGTAGAGGTGGCTGGGTATGTTTACTCCACTTTGAATATAAACTTTTCTTAGTTCTCTTGGCTTTTCGCGGTAAGAGTTTTAGCCACACACAAAGTGTTTCGACTAACTGGTTTTTATAACGGGGAAATGTTTATAATATCATGGAATGTAATTTGGAAACGGAATTTGAAAAAATTGAGACAAAAGTCAAAGTCAAAAGCTTTATTCACCAAGACAACACTGTATACATTGCCTAGGAGGCAAGTCAAATTACAGAAAACACCTTAGACTATGGAAACCTTAGAGAATGGAAAAAAAATAAAGGAAAGGAGCTGCCCTATCTACGGAATAAACGTACATAACTAAACCATAATTGTACCACACATATGGAGGATTTAGTGTTGTACTATAATCATAGATAAGTCGATATCGACATGCAAATGTGCGACTTGAATGTTGAAACTGTTTTTTTATGTTTGCTTTGTATAGTTTACTGTAATCAAAGTATGATTAATACTAGCTATTATTACAAGGCAAACTTAAATATAAAGTTATTTACCAATAAATGTAACGATGAAATTGCAATAACATGTAACCTAGTTACATTCCAAGTTCTATTAAAATGTGACTCTTTAAAATGGGGCGAACAAACGAAGATGGTATTTCATCTAATTTTTATGTCCGGCAGTCCTATAATTCCCAACCATTCTTTCTTTCTTTTTTCATTTGTAGGTAAAGTTTAGAAATAATTATAATGAAATAATAAAAATCTCGTAGTGAATTGTTTTAATAACAGAATTTCTGTAATATGCCTGCTTACAAGAACAACACTATCTCAAAACAATCGTTATCAACAATCATCAAAATATACTAACAAACAGGAAATTTAAAGTAACCAAAGCTATATTCGGCACTTATGAATAAACTACTTAAATGAGTCTAATTTACATGAGATATTTGGGCTATTGTATGACAAAAAATAACACATGCCTGTGTAATGTAACATTCGGTTGAATTCCGCCTTTTCTATTGCCGCACCCCTTAATGCCGCAGCGACGCATTTTAATCAATACGTAATTGTTCTCGCTGTCAATATCGCAGCCGGAAACGGTTATCAAAGGGTACTACAAAAATGGCAAAATGAGGACAGTTGGCATTTAAGATGATGTTACGTATTTTCGATTCCCGTGTTTGACATAAATCAATGTAGTGCCATCTCTTTTGGCTTACGACGGCACGCAGTAGTTAAACAAACACAATAAAATGTTTATGTTTTCAACGTCTAAATGCATCATTTACATGTAACGACTGATTAATATATGTCAATATAACATGTCCTTTGGTTTCCAAAATCTAAGATGGAAACCAAAAGTCTTGTTATGTTGACATATATAAATCAGACGTTATATGTATATGATGCATTTCGACATTGAAAACATAAATGTTATTGTCTTTGTCTAACTACTGCGTGCCGGCGTAAGCCAAAAGAGATAGCATTACATTGGTCTGTGCCAAACAAGGGAATCGAAAATACGTAACGTCATCTTAAATGCCAACTGTGTTCATTTCGCAGTACCCGAGGTACATCATAGGTTTTCAAAGGGTAGTACATCAAATGTCAAAACAAATGTTTTTCCAAGTGTTTTATTGAATTATTTGCATGGATAATAATAAAATGGATAAAAATATTGACAGTGAGAACAATTAAGTATTAATAAAAATGCATCGCAGCAGCATTAAGTGATGTGGCATTAGCAAAAGCGAAAATCAACCGAATGTAACATTGCACAGGCATTGTTGCGGACACCGAGCTACATAATCCGCGCCGACCGCCTACTCGCC